TCCAATGTAGTGATGATCGTTCCCAACAGCGACGAAGGGGGAAGCCACTAAGCGCATAGCTGGCTTCAAGAGATGGGGCACGTGGAGGGGCCGCGGCCAGCGTCCTCTGCGTCCCAGCCCGCATTCGGCACGGGCAAAGTGCCTGGGTAAAGCATGAGGAGGAGCGGCGGGGAAACGCCTTCAGCGAGTCGACCCTGTTCTCCACGGGCCGGCAACGCGGCCAAAACCGTCGGTGGGATTATTTCAGCCGACCGCACGGGCTATGGGCCCACGAAGCACGTGGTTCTTTTGTTTTCATAAGTCGTCGTCGGAAGGGACCGCCAGGTCCACACCGCCTGGCCCTCCCTCTTCTCCCACGATGCTGCCACTGCCGCTCCCACCTCTCCCAACGTCTCGCTGAGCCGGGCCGGGGTCAGCTGCGACTGCCCCCGCCCGTCCGCTGTCGCCGCCACTGCCGCCACTGCATACACCCCCACCGTCTCGCAGCACAGCGCCAGCGCTGGCTGCCTCCGCCCCTTCTCGCAGGCGCTGATCCGGGTGCTGCAGCGGCTGGTGGGCGCCACCTTCGGGAGGATGATGGGTTCCAACTTCACTCCCAGCATCTCGCTGAGCAGCGCCAGAGCTGGCTGCCACTGCCCCTTCTCGCAGGCGCTGATCCCAGCGCTGTAGCGGGTGATTGGCTTTTGCCGCCCTCCCGACATCTCGCAGAGCGGCGCCAGAGCTGGCTGCCGCTGCCCCTTCTCGCAGACGCCGATCCGGGCGCTGTGTCCCAGCATTTCGCAAAGCAGCGCCAGAGCTGGCTGCCACTGCCCCTTCTCGTAGGCGCTGGCCCCGGTGCTGTAGCGGATGAGGGGCTCCAGCTTCACTCCCATCATCTCGCATAGCAGCGTCAGACCTGACTGCCACTGCCCCTTCTCGCAGGCGCCGGCCCGGGCGCTGTGGCCGATGATGGTGGGCTCCAGCATTGCTCCCATCATCTCGCAGAGCAGCGCCAGAGCTGGCTGCCACTGCCCCTTCTCGCAGGCGCTGATCCGGGCGCTGTGGCCGACGGTGGTGGGTTCCAGCATCACTCCCAACATCGCGCAGAGCAGCGCCAGACCAAGCTGCCTCTGCCCCTTCTCGCAAGTGTTGACCCGGGCGCTGTAGCCGATGACGATGGGTTCCAGCATCACCCCCAACATCTCGCGCAGCAGCGCCGGAGCCAGTTGCCACTGCCGGCCCTCGCTCGGGCGCGCCCGGCCGCGGCAACGAAGCAAAAGGACGAGAGGGGAGAGGGGCGAGGGAATCGGGAGAAGGGCTGAAAACTTCACTCGCAGCAAATCGCAGAGCAGCGCCAGAGCTGGCTGCCACTGCGCTTTCTCGCAGGCGCCAATCCGGGCGCTGTAGCCGATGATGGTGGGCTCCAGAAGTCGCCCAACTTCTCGCAGAGCCGCGCCAGAGCTGGCTGCCGCTGCCCGTTCTCGCAGGCGCTGATCCGGTCGCTGCGGCGGTCGATGGTGGTGGGCCCCAGCATCGCCCCCAACATCTCGCACAGCAGCGCCGCAGCCAGCTGCCACTGCCGGCCCTCGCTCGGGCGCGCCCGGCCGCGGCAGCGAGGCAGGAGGGCGAGAGGGGAGAGGAACGTGGGGGGCGGGAGAAGGGTTGGAGACTACACTCCCAACGTTTCGCCGAGCAGCGCCAGAGCTGGCTGCCACTGCCCCTTCTCGCAGGCGCCGGCCCGGGCGCTGTAGCCGATGATGGTGGGCTCCAGCATTGCTCCCATCATCTCGCAGAGCAGCGCCAGAGCTGGCTGCCACTGCCCCTTCTCGCAGGCGCTGACCCGGGCGCTGTGGCCGACGGTGGTGGGTTCCAGCATCGCTCCCAACATCGCGCAGAGCAGCGCCAGACCAAGCTGCCTCTGCCCCTACTCGCAAGCGTTGATCCGGGCGCTGTAGCCGATGACGGTGGGTTCCAGCATCACCCCCAACATCTCGCACAGCAGCGCAGGAGCCAGTTGCCACTGCCGGCCCTCGCTCGGGCGCGCCCGGCCGCGGCAGCGAAGCAAAAGGACGAGAGGGGAGAGGGGCGTGGGAATCGGGAGACGGGTTGGAAACTTCACTCGCAGCAAATCGCAGAGCAGCGCCAGAGCTGGCTGCCACTGCGCTTTTTCGCAGGCGCCAATCCGGGCGCTGTAGCCGATGATGGTGGGCTCCAGCATTGCTCCCAACATCTCGCAGAGCAGCGCCAGAGCTGGCTGCCGCTGCCCCTTGTCGCAGGAGTTGGTCCGGGTGCTGAGGCGGTTGAGGGGGTCCAGCATCGCCCCCCGCGTCTCGCGGAGCAGCGCCCGAGCTGGCTGCCACTGTCCCTCCTCGCAGGCGCTGGCCTGGGTGCTGTAGCGGATTATACTGGGCCCCAGCATCGCCACCCGCATCTCGTTGAGCTGCCACTGGGCCGGCTGCCGCTGCTCGCACTTCTCGCGCGCGAGGCCGGGCTCCAGCATCGCCCCCCGCATCTCGCTGAGCAGCCACTGGGCCGGCTGCCACCGTTACCGCTGCCGCCCCTCCCCTCCGCGCCTCCCACCACGCTGCCATTGCAGCCGCTGCCGCCCCTCCTCCACTCCTCCCCGCTGCCACGGCCGCCCCTCCCACCATGTTGCCATGGTCTCCGTCCACGCCTATACCGTCGCCCCTTCCTCCTCCTCCTCTGCTGCCACTGCCGCCCCTCCCAACTCCTCCACTCTCCTATGTCGCAGCTGCCGCGCCCCCCCCCCCCCCCCCCCCCCCCCCTCGCTGCTGACAGCGCGCTCCTGCCCCCCAGCTACGCTGCCACAGCCGCCCGCCACAGCGCCGCCACTGCCGCCCACCGTCGTGACGCCACTGCCGTCTGCCCTGGCGATCAGGACTGCCATCCCTGTCCTGCCACATGCGATGCACGCCGCGTATCTCCCCGGCCGCCGTCGCGGCCACGACATGAGGTCAGCGTCTGCCCCCACACACTGGAAGCGCGTCCACGCGCCAGTGCCGTCTCTTCCCGCCCCCCCTCTTGCCCCCGTCGTGCCCCTCCCCGCGCCGCCACTGCCGCCCTGCCCAACTCAACCCACCATGTCTCCTCCTGTGAGATATACGCTGTAAATCTTGTGTGTATGCTATGTTGCAGTGTGCAGACAGTGCAGAGCAAGGCTGTAGCATAGCGGGTGTACCATTGCACTTTGGCCCGAACCTTTTCAGGGCCCTCGAGTCAGACCGAGCACGCCGTGAAAACGTCTCAGATGTTTTCTGGTTTCTGATTCTCGTTGCCATCAAAGACTTCGTGGGCTTTGATAATTTCATATTGGTAGCGGAGCCTGTCGATCGTTCGGTTGTTGCGTTCGGTCGCACCACTACCTTGGAGCCTACCTTTGTTAGAGAAATTCGAATCATGAAAAAATGAATTAAGTATCTGGAAAATTAAATTATCAGAAACTGGACAATTCGAATAATTCACTAAATCAATAAATAATTCATTAAATCCATCTCCTGTGGGCGGCAACGCGCAGGACAGCATCGCGATTACCTTCACGCCATGGATCAGATATGGCACAACCTTCAACAAACGAAGCCTGATCTCACCATGCACACGGGCCCACACGGGAAAGTGCGATGCAGAAACAATGTCGGCCCTGAAATTCGCACCGCAGCCGTCTACAACCACAAACCTTCGAAACGCAGGAATCGATTTCTGACAAAATCGCAAGCCATGCCTCCGACGCCTTCATGACAAGACACAACAGGATAATCAAGGCCGCATGAGAGAACATCCGACGTCAGCAAAAGCCCCGAGGAGAGCAAGAGCCAGACTTCCACCAGCGAGTAGGACGGTTCTTTTTTTTTCATTTTCTCTGATCTCTCTCGCACCCTAGTTGTAACGCGGCACAGTCCCTCGGCAGCTCATCAAAGAGGAGGCGTCGAATCGCCGCCGAGGGGAAAACAGCCGCCTGCTGTGAGGCGCAAGCCCTCCTTGCCCCCTATGTTACACATCCTTGTCTCGCACGCGCCTCCCATCGTCCTCATCCTGTCAATCCTCCTACATCCCCTCCTGATCCTCCTCAGATCCTCCTCCTCCTCCTCCTCCTCCTCCTGCTTATCCTTAGGTGGCCCCCTCCCCCTCATCATCCCGTTCCTCTTCCTTCTCCTCCTCCTCCACGCCATGCCCCTCCTCCTCTTGCTCCTCCTTCTCCAAACCCCATCCAAATCCCCTCCTCCGACCCTCTTCCTCTTCCACCTCTTCCCCGAGGAGGGGGAAGAGAAAGGGGGGGGGGGGGAGGGGGAAGAGGATGACGAGGAGGAGGAGGAGGAAATGGAGGAGGAGGAGGAACCTCCTCCTCATCCTCTTCCCCCACCTCGCCCTGGGGCCTGCGCAGGCGCCGCGCGCCCTGCATCTCGCCTGGAGGCCTAGCGGCGGGCCTTGCGCGCAGCCATGCGCTCGGCGAGGCTGCGCTTCTTGAACGCAGGCGCCGCGTCTGGCGACTGCTGCTTGTCCTCTGGGGACTCCCTCAGCCCGGGGAGCGGCGGCTTCGCCATCCTCCCCGCGAACCCCCTGCGACTCGAAGAGGAAGAAGCCGCCGCAGTCGGATCAGGTGCCTGCCCCTGCGGGAAGGGGCGCGAGAGCCCGGGAGGCCAAGGACCAAGGGGGGCATCCGAACATTCATTCAGAGGGACCCTACCGGAGGAGCGAAGGGGATGCAAGGCTGAGGAGGGAGAGGAGCGCGGGGGCGGACGGAGTCTGGATGACGCCCATCGGGTCAGTGACCCCCAACCTAGACGACTCGGGGCTGGGGAAATCGACGTCGCCGCCGAGGGGACGATGACGAGAGCGCCACAGCAATCCCATGGATAACAGTCCGAGTTGTCTTGAGTCTCCCCCTCCTCCTTCTCCTCCTCCTCCTCCTCCTTCACATCCCCCCCCCTCCTCCTCCTCCTCCTCATCTCTCTCCTCTTCCTCCTCCCTCCCCCCACCAATCATCCCGTTTGTCGTCTGGGATCCTCGAAGAGCTCGGCGTCAAGCTTATCGATATCCTCCTTGTTGGCCTCCTCCTCCTGGTCTTTCTCGCGGTCGAGGTACAACCCGGCGGCCCATGAGGACAACAATTCGTCGATCTCCTCGGACGGTGACCATCCAGACTTCGCGATGTCCTTGCGAAGGGACGCCACCGAAACTTCCCTGGCCACTCTCGCTGGGTGGCTGAAAGCGCCGCGGCAAGCGCCACTGTGGCGAGGGCGTTGTCGGCAGCAGCTGAGGCCCGCTGAACCACCTCAAGACTGGCCACAGTGAACGTCTTGTTGAAGCCCAACACCACCTTCATCACGCCCTTCAGGATCATGGAGACGGAAGTCATGGCGGCGTGGTCAGCGCCAATCACAGCATCCATCTGATCGGTGTTCCCCAGAATGGCCGTGCTGGAATGCACTGGGACCTCGGCTTCAAGGTTGCCCGCCATCGACAGGAGATCTTGCTCGACGGCTGCCTTGTAGAAAGCCTTCAAGTCCAAGATGTCCTTCTCGAAAGACTGCATGATGCACTCATGGTTCAGGCGCTTGTCGAAGGTCCCGATGTGGAAACGAAGCGAGCCACCCTTGTCGGCCTTCAAGTCCGACGACACCTGAAGCGGAAGCCGAACACGCTCGGCAATGCGAATCACACCTGCCACCGCCAAGCTCGCCGCCAAGCCGCAGCCCCAGGGGACTTTGGAGGCTCGGCCGCTGGCTGAACAGAGGCAGATGAGGTTCGGCACTGGGCGAGCTCAGCCCCGTGAACCAGCGTCGCGAGGTCGATCCTCTGCAGGCTGTCCCAGCGGGCGTTCAACTCCTTCCACTGAGCCACCGCGGAGCTTTCCAAGAGCAAGTCCTTGAAGGTCTTGGCCGCTGCGCGCACGTGCTTATACTTCGCCAATGTAGCCACCGCTTGGAACGTCTGGCTGGCCGAGACGGCGAAGGACAGCTGGCGATGCAACGTCTCGTCGCCGATGTCCAAGGCAAACTGGAGCCCATCCGCGATGATGTTCACCGGGTGCTTCGCCTCCGCGACGGCTGAGACTCCGCCCTCGTCAAGATCGTTCCATGACCACGGCTTCTCACAGCACGCAGCGCCGAGAACAAGGAGCACGTGGTCGAGGATGGGCATGAGGATGGGGCCGCTCATCTCAATTGCAACCGTCGTCATCTCCTGCATGCGCTCGCCTGCAGAGCCCAGCACGGGCGACGCCAGCAGGGCCAGCGGAGCCTCTGGGTCGGCGAAGAACTGCACTGCATCCTTGTGGATCGGTTTCAAGTTGGTCGCGATGATTGACAGGACAGACTTGTAGTCAGCTGGTGTAGCATTGCTCGCGGCCCCCGAGCTCGAGAGCGAATGCCAACGGCTCAAGGCCTCCCCGATGCTGCACAACTGCTGGATGGCATTGGTCTTGGCCTCAATCATCGGGATATGCTTTTTGTGTTTGGCCGTTGCCTCGGTGTACTTCTCAAGCAAGCGGCGGCGGTCCCCGGTGTCCTCGACCCACTTGGCAAGCGAAGCCCCTGTCGTTGTATTGACCAGGATCGGGGACAGCACGGTAGCCCAACCCTGAATGAGAAAGTCGATCCACTTGGTCATCGCCGTCACGATCTTGGAGTCATTATTGTTGGGAACGCAAGCGGGAATGCAATGGGACAGCGAGGCGAGAGACTCCACGACTGCCTTGGCCGAATCAACGGCCCCATCCAGCCAATGTAGATCACGCGAAAAAACGTCTGGCAGGCACTGCGTCACGCTGGCGTTGAGGACAGCGATCTTCTCGTTGACGGGCTCGATGGCTGAAACAATGGCCTTGGCCTTCTCCAGCAGCTCCTTGGCCTCGCGGAAGATCAACTGCCCAGGGTTCCACATGTTTAGCGCAGTCCCCAACTGCGTCCCAGCCTGTTTCTTCGCAGGGAGCGCACCCTCAATAATCACAATGGCGTCGCTCAGGTGCTCCACCACGTCGGCCACAGAGGGGTACGTGACATTCTTGGCGCTGTAGATCACCTGGAACGCAGCCCACCACTCGGAGACTTCATCTTCGAAATCGTAGTCGAAATCCTCGTCGTCAGCCGTCAGAGCGGCCAACGCGGCCGCGCGCTTGTCCTCAGTCTTGATGCGGAGAGCATGCGAAAGGCGGTCCGCGAAGAGCTGCTGCTGCTCTTCGCAGATGGCGGCAGGAGCGAGTCCGACTGCACGCAAGGCCCGGGTAGAGATGAGCGTGAAAAACTGTTTGGCATCAGTTGCCTTTACCACGCCCAGCTTCTTCCGCATCCAGCAAAGGTGAGGCGGGATATCCAACGTCGTCGCGGGATCGAGCGCCAAGGTAATAACGGCGAGGTCGTGCCTCGTAGGGGGGCTTACGCCGGGGACCCAAGACAACGCCAAGAACGCATCGCAGATGGCCACCAGAGAGGACCCGCCCGCCCACCCCCCATCCCCGCTCTCCCAGGCAAGGACGAGCGAGAGAGGGCAGGGCGGCATCTCTTCGTAACATCTCGATGCCATCTTCGAGGAATGCTGGGACCAACTCGGAGCCCGTCGACTGAGAGGTTTGCTAAGGTCTGAAGCCCCCTGGAACGTTTCAGAGGAAGCGAATTCGCCCGCCAGAACGGATGTCTGCGCAAGCGCGCACCCTCTCGCACCCCTCCAAGGACCCTTCCTGGGAAGCTCTGCAGAGCCGGGATTGGCGGGCGAGCGAGACAGATCGGGGAAGCGCGGCGAGGGGGGGGCACGGCGGCGCCAGAAAGGCCCACGGGTAGCCGACGCGGTCAAGTGTCCGAGCCCCCACGAACCACGAACAACAATGAGCACGCCCTCAAAATCTACCTCACATCGCTTCCACTACGCTACCCCCAGGGGGATCCCTAATAGAGTAAGCTCTAAAGAATCCCGTTGGAAACGCCCCGCAGGATCACCCAGTCAGACCTTCTGACGCGCTCCTGCAGGGCATTTGCAAGGGCCTCGCTCGGAGCCCTTTCGGAGCTGTCCTGGATGCTCTCTCGGGGCTTTGGGCTCCAAGGGTTCCAAAAGTTACAAGACAGCCGCGATGCTCCAGGATCCAGGAACGGAAAGAGAGAGGCCCGCATGAGCCCCCTATCGGAGGGCCCTGGGGAGAGGCACCCTTTCCTTGCTAACCCCCTGCTCCCCCTCCAACGACGCTGGATTCGGACCCGATCCCACTTGGTCTTCATCTCCTCGGATGGCAAAGCGGCAAGCCCCAGGAAGTCGTTGATCACAGCAAGCTTCTTCTCGCTGATCTTGCACAGGCGATGCTCGTCGGGGTCCTCGAGGGTGCGCAGCTTCGAAGAGAAGTCTGTCAGCAATGCGAGGTTGAGCTTGATCTGGGCATCCTGCTCGCTCCCCCACATGAGAGCGTCGTCGGAGCCTGCACTGAAGAAGCGGGACTCCAACTCGGACACCTCCATCAGAAGGTTCTTCACAGGCGGCCGACCTCGCTTCTTGGCGCCTGGCTTTGCGGACGCGGTGGCGCCACTCGAGCCGCTCGACTCGCCGCCGCTGCCGGAAGCTGATGCGCCGCCAGTTCCTCGCCCGCGGCGCTTGGCCCCACCAGCTGCCTGTTCCGCCGCCGCTGGCGCGGGGTCGGCAGTCGGCGGGCGCGACGCAGCAGGGCCTGCAAGCGGCGGCGGCGCGTCGCTGCGGCCAGCGGCGGCAGCAGGAGGCACGCCGATGACCTGGTCGATGGCGCCAGTGATGTTGAGAGAGGCGAGCGAACCCGGGAACAGCATCTCGAAAACTTGCGCCTGCTTCTGCGAGATTGACTCTACGGAGCCAGAGCCCAAGTTGACCGTCCTGACCGACTGGTGGCGCTCGACCTTCCCGTAGTGGGTGCAGTCCACGTCTGGGACCCAGACGCCCTCAAGTCCGTTCTCGTCCTCGCCCAGGTAGTGCCCTTCCGTCTGGGCCAAGCCATTCGTAGCGAAGTCGCCCTTGGTCCTCTGGTAGCTCGCCATCGGGTAGAACGTTTTCCCAAGGCCTGTCTTCACGGCTTCCTTGATGACGACCTCTTGAAGCACGCAGTCGTGCACCTCGTCGTAGTCCAGGTGAGCAGTGCGCTTCGCACCCGACTCAATCATGGACGCAATCATTTTGTCGATGATCACGCCGAAGACCTTGACGCGTTCTGGCCCAGCTCCAAGAACGCCCTTGAACTTCGCGTAGGTCATCCCTGGGAGCTGCCTGACGTCGCCGTTGAACCACCTCGTGCAGCACCCGCACACGGTCCCCTGGGTGCACCCCCGCGCGTCGGCCTTGCGGCCCCAATACATGAAGACGCGCTTGCCCGCCGCCAGGTCGATCGGGTCGAGGTCGTTGTCGCGACGCGGGCAAGTGTCGCATTTGCGGCCGTCTGGCCTCTGGGGAGGAAGTCGAAAGTCGCACTACGTTGAGTCGGCTGGCCCCACCCCACGCACTGAAGTAAGGAGATGAGTCGTTCGGGCCCCTCTGCCGCAGCTGAAGTCGCCCGAGTCCGTCCTTCGGCAGACAGAGGGGCCCGAACGACTCATCTCCTTGACTTGCGATGCCCTCGAAATTCGTGGAGGTGGCGCGACGCCAGACATCATAGTCAAGGGCGTGGGCCAGGACAAGACAAGAAGACGGCAGAGAGCAACCATGCTGCTAGCATCGGACCGAGCCCAGGAAACCGCACAAAGGCCCAGGGCTCGCAGAAGACAGATCGGCCCGAAAGGGCGGGAACCATTTTTGGGTCACAGGAAGAAAGGATTGACCATGTCAAATCCTGCCCGCAGAAGACAGATCGGCCCGAAAAGGCGGGAACGTTTTTTGGGTCACAGGGAGAGAGGATTGACCGTGTCAAATCCTATCCGACCGATGAGCGCATTCGCCAGAAGGCCAAGTTGAAGGAGGGCCATGTACCGAAGGCCAGGAAGCAGCACGTGGAGGACCCTCACGATGACTGCGGCACAGACCTCTCTGGCCTGGAACCCTACTTACTTGGACTTCATGCCCTCGGCGATTGCGACGGCCCCGAGTACGACGAAGGGCTCCAAGCGGGCACCAAGAAAGCTCCAGGAGTACTCCAAGAGCCCCCCAAGAGCCCCCCAAGAGGGCCCAAGACGGCTCCAAGAAGGCCCCAAGAGGGCCTTGGGGAGGGGCAAAGATACCTCCCAGAAAAGCCCCTCCTCCTCCTCCTCCTCCCTCCTCCTCCTCCTCCTCCTCCTCCTCCTCCTCCTTGCCTTCCTCGTCCTCGCCCTCCTCCTGCTGCTCCTCCTCCTCCTCCTCCTCCTCCCAGCCTGAGCACCGCCATGACGTCGGAACCTCCAACGCCGCTGCGGCTGCCGCCGGTGCGAGAGCGACGATCAGCGCCGCCGCTCAACGCCCCCTGCATGTCCTGGAGGTGCTTCGAGGCCGCCGCCATCGCGACAGGTCGTCGGTCGGGCGGTCGAGAAGATGGAAGCCGAGGGCGTGGGCGCGCAAGGCTTCGGGACTGAAGAGCTTGACTCGTTGGTTAGCAGCTGCGAGATTGGAACGGGAGGCCCAGGTCGGGAGTTTGCTCCAGGGGGGGGGGGGATAACGCGGCCAGCTTGCCAAAGTCAACAGGGCGAACGCTGCCGGCGGTCTAGGGAGTGGGCAGGAAGAACAGGAGCGGGAGGACAGGGGCGGGGAAGGCGAAGCAGCAGGTGGGGAAGGAGGGAGGAGGAACAGAGGCAGGAGAGGGAGTCGAAGGGAGAGAAGGGGAGGGAAGCGGAGTAAAGGGAACGGTGGGCATCACTTGGGCCCACGAGGGCCAAGGCTAATCTCGGCCAGAACCTGACGTCAAGTTTCGGGCCCGAAACAACGAACGGCGCAAATAACGGAGTGGAACATCTACTTTTTGGGGGCCCCCACCCAGGACCTTGATGATCCTCTGGCTCTTGAAAAGCCAGCTTGAATCTTTGACCGATGGGATCGTTGAAATCGCTGCACCGATGGGGAGAAAGCTGCAAAGCCCCGACCCTCCGTCGCCGTCGCCGCTGCCGCTGCCGTCAGCCGTTGCCACCCTGGTCATCGCCCTGCCCCTCCCTCTTCATGAACGCGCCCGCGCTGGCGGCCGCAATGACAACGCGCGGCAGACGAATCTGCGCGCGGCCAAGCTAGCGAGGGCGCGCCATGAACAGGGAAAGAGCCACGATGCCGAGACGGAGCGCCCCCTGAAGTCTTTCCAGGGCTTGCATCTACTATTGATTCTAAGCTTCAGCGAAGAGGGGGGCGTCACACCACCTAGCTCGGCCCTCCAAGCCAGAGCCAGCCTCGCGCGCGCCGTCCCCGACGCCAGCGCCGAGCCCCTGAGACCCATGATGAACAAGAGGGGCGGGCCTGTCACCCTAGCGTGGTCGGCATGGTCTCTATATCCACCGCCTGTGATTCGCAGCGAGCGCTGGGAGGGGGCTGGGATGGTGAATCTAGAAGTCGCTGTTTCGAATCACAGACTCACGGTGCTACCAACCACCCAGGCCCGCGCCTATTCGCTAGCAGGAAGACGAGGGAGATGGAGGTACTCTGATGGGGGGCAGAAGACCCTGGTGACTCGAGGACCCTTCTCGGCCCTCCGGGCCTTCTAGTCTTCTCGCGGCCCCCAGGGCCCCAACTGTAACCGACGAGTTCCCTGCGCAGGGCCGACGGGGCAGAGTTGGGAGGGCGTTGGAGGCGAGGAGTAGGAGGGGAGGAGAAAGAAGAGGAGGAAAAGAAGAAGAAGGAGAAGGAGGAGGAGGAGGAGGAGAACTGAAGGACGAGAAGGATGCCGAGGAGGAGGCTGAGGAGGAGGACGAGGGGGCGGCCCCCAGGCTGACGCGCCCTCAGTCTGAGCTCGCGCTTACCGAACAAGGACGCTGACAGCTCATGGCGGCGTCAATCTCCATGTCCATGAGCTCCTCGATGTCCTCCTCGCTGGACTGGTCGGCACGCGATCCGAACTTGCCGATAGTCGCGAGCTGCGCGAGGAGAAACGGGATGATGTGCCACGCGCAGTAGCCGTTCCCAGACATTTCCATCAGCAACTCGCTGTACCTCTTATGGTTGGTGGTGGCCACCTCGGCGTCGATCCGACTGATTCCTGCCGACCAGCATTCGTCTCCCCAGCCGATGAGCCTCATGCACTCGAAGCCCTCCATGAGGCGCACCCTCCTAGGAGAGCGCGTGCGCACCAAGAAGCGCGCCGTCCCGGTGAGCGTCGGCACGATGGACTTCCACGGCGTCGCGTTCTTGTCCTTCAGCTTGCCGTTCTCGTCCAGAAGCGGGCCGACGGACCGCAGGAGCTGCATGTTCACATCCACGAACTCCAAGTCCGCCTTCGGCTGGAACGCTGTATCGAGGAAGCCTGCCGCATCACGTTCCCGTGGGAGAAGCCCCCCCAAGTCGACGTGCTTCATGGTGTCAGCCGTCGCGGGCCAGGCCAAGCCCCAAATTGAGAAGTAGAAGTGATGCGATACTTTCCAATCGAGCTTTCTTGGCGGTGTCCTTCGCCCCGTCCTGCTGGTGCGTGCGCATGCCGAGTGCTTCGGCCTGCGCAGTCCTCTCGACGGGGTCAGCAGTGATGAAGTCAGTGATCTTCGCCGCAGACACATGACGGAAAGCGTTGAGACACTGCATGAAGAACGCAGAAATGACATCGTGATTTCCCACCAGGTTCTTGGCCCCCCCCCACCAGAGCCTCTGTCGTTCACACGGTGCCCCGAAGTCGCGGGCGTCCATCATAAGGGAGTGCATCCAGTACCCCTTCTCACGCAGCTTCATGTTCATCCATTCCATGTCGCTCATGCCTCCAGCGGGCTTGCTAGCCAACTGCTTAATATTTTCCAATGTAATGACGAGAGGCTTGCGAGCATCGACCGTTCGCTCGACCGCTTGAAAGCCTTCTCCAGTGGTACCAGTACCTTGTTGAACACAGCCCAGGTTGCTGGAAGCGGCCGCATTGAGAGGACTGCGAGACTTGCAAGGGAACCCCGCATCTAGCCATACAACCTTTATCAGACTTCCCAAAAAAAGGTCGTAGTAAAAGGGGCCAGGGGGTCGCACCGCATCGCTGATGCATCTATTACGCAGTTCGAGGTGTATCCCCAATATCGATGCATCGCCGACAAGTACAAGTCACCGTCGCGATGCATCGGCGAAGCAACGTGGACCCTGGATCTGAGCTACATGACCCCAATCCCTTTTTTAGATAGCATCACCTCTGGGAGGTGCTGCGTGCGGACATGCTCGGGATCGACGACGTTGCGGACGCTGTCTCCTTCATGAAGCTCCTCCATCCTCTCCGTTGCGAAAGTGGGCTGGGTCTCTGCAATGACGTGCTCGCGTTTCCTGCGGTCGAGCTCCGCGATCAAAACGGTATCGAAACAAATGTCGACCCCGTACTGGTTCCGAAGAACCCCGCTGATCGCGCCCATGCAGTGGTGCATGATGCCCGTTCCAGCGCACAGACTCCACACAGGCACTTTGTTGAGGCCCAGCACTGAGGGGACGTTGGCGATGGCATGTAAGAACACAGACTCCTGAGAATCAGACATCTTCGAAAGATACTTCACAACCAAGAACTCCAACTTACTCTCCGGAACCCAGGATGGCTGAGGTTTCAGACGGCGAGGAGTAATGAGGTCGGACTTCGCGAGGGACTTGGCGCTGCGACTCCCCCTGGCGCGGCTGTCCTTCCAGAGGGCGGCTGCGCAATAACAAGCCCACGACGGTGGCAATTGTTGCCCTTGCCCTTCCAGGATGTCAAAGCCCCGGGCCCCCCAGGACCTCTGAATTCTGCGATTTTCAAAGCCTCCGAAAATCAATCAAATTCAATTCCGAACGGCCTGAAAATAATTAAATCGAATAAAAAAACCAAAATCGCAGAAAATCCCGGGGCGCTGCGATATATAATTTCCCGTCGAGGCGGGAAATTAAAATCGCAGCGGGCGAAAATCGCAGAAAGTCCCGGGAGGAATTTCGAATTAGCAGATTTTTAATGATTCCGAAATTCCCAGGGCTGATTTTGGATCTCTGGAAATGAACATCAGAGAGGGAGGAGGAGGAGGAAGAGGAGGAGGAAGAGGAGGAGGAGGAAGAGGAGGAGGTGGAGGAGGAGGAGGAGGAGGAGGGGGGGGAGGAAGGAGGGGGGGAGGGAGGGAGGAGGAGGGGGAGGAGGAGGAGGGAGGAGGAGGAGGAGGAGGAGGAGGAGGGGGAAGGAGGAGGGGCTTTTCTGCGAGGCATCGTTGCCCCTCCCCAAGGCCCTCTTGGGGCCTTCTTGGCGCCGTCTCGGGCCCTCTTGGGGTGCTCTTGGAGCCCTCTTGGCGCCCTCCTGGAGCCCCAAGAGGAGCCCCAAGAGAGCTACAAAGAATACCGCCGCAGGAGTCCACGGACCCCCCCCCCCCCTGGGGGGGCCCACGGGCCCCTAGGGGGGGTGGATCCGTGGGCTCCGCAGGGTGGCTTTTCTGGGAGGTATCTCTGCCCCTCCCCAAGGCCCTCTTGGGGCTTTCTCGGAGCCGTCTCGGGCCCGCTTGCAGCCTTCTTGGGGGGCTCTCGGGGGGCATGTGTGACCCGAGGGGGGAAAAAAAAAAAAAAAAAAAAAAAAAAAAAAAAAAAAAAAAAAAAAAAAAAAAAAAAAAAAAAAAAAAAAAAAAAAAAAAAAAAAAAAAAAAAACGAGCAAGACAACTGTAACAGTTGTCTTGCTTGCTGAGGAGGAGGAGGCGAAGGGGGAGGAGGAAGAGGAGAGTCAAAATAGCTCCTCATCATCCGCCTTCGCCTCCTCATCCTCGGGGATCGTCGACAGCGCGGACATCACGCTGCCGGCGAAGCCGAGCATGTCCCTGGCGCTGCGCCCGCTCGTCGAGACGAGCTGGTCCACGGAGAGCTGGGGGCGCACAGCCTGGGGCCAACAGGAACGTTTGCTATGCCACTTCCTAACGACCCAACTCCTTCTTCCCCTTCTCCTCATCCTGTCCTCCACCTCCTCTTGCTCCTCCTCCTCCTCCTCCTCCTCCTCCTCCCCCCCACCTCCTGCCCCTCCTGCTCCTTCATCATCCTGCTCCTCCTGCCGTCCGCCTTCCTCCTTGGATGCCGGGGGGCAGCGGCGATCCCGATTGGAAGTCTCGCAGCCCGCGCAGCTGCGGCGGCCGCGGCCAGCGCCGCAAGGGAGGCTGAGCGTCGCTCTTCTCGCGCTCCACGGGCGGCTGCTTGGCGTGCGCCATCTGCTCAGCGTTGCCCTCCTCGCACGCCATGGGTGCTGCTGACGGCGGCGCGTCGCCTCCCTCAGAAGCAGGGTCGCACTCCATGGGCGACGCCAGGGGCAGCTGGTCGGGCGCCAAGGACGCGCGGCCTTGCCCGACCGCCACGTGCTGCGGCTCAGTGCCCTCATCGCGCTCCATTGGCGCCGTTGGAAGCGGCTGATCGCCTGTCTCCTCGACGGCTTCGCCAGAGCCCACCGCGGCCGCGCCTGCGAAGGGGGGCGTGTCAGCGTCCAAGTCAATGGGTTCCTCACTCATCGGCTCTCCTGACTCGGCGGCAGCAGCATGCGGTTTGCCCTGGCCGCCGGCGGCGGAATCAACCCCGTCGTCGAAGGTCTGGCTGTCGAAGGAAGGCGCAACGGCTTCCGAAGCCGCGGCCGCATCAGCAGCGTCTGGCGTTGGTGGCGCGATGTCTGCTGCGGTGGGCGTGGCCGTGCCATCGCAAAACGGCGCTGGCCACTCAGGCGTAGCGGCCGCGGCGCCCGCGCCGCTGGCATCGCGGGGGTGGTCGGCCGATAGCACGCTCTCAGGGAGTGAGAACGACGGCGGCGGTGGCCCATCGAGGAGCTGCTTCCCAGGGGCGGGTCTGATCTCATCAGGTGCACCAGACGGCATGGGCGACGCCGCCAGGTCATCAGGCGCAGACGGGCGGGGCGCCTTTGCTGGCGCCCGCGGCAGCGCCATCATCAAAGTTATCTGCTCAGCGGCGCCTCTGCGGCGGAGCCGCCTCGCCTCTTCCTCCTTCGACAAGGGGGCTGGGCGCTTAGAAGCAGCCGCCGCGGCCGTCGCCACCGCCGTTGAGGCATGCGGCGCTTGCGAGGCCTTCGACTGCTGCGAGACAGCGGAGCCCTTCTGGTCCTTGAGCTCCTGGGCTTTGACCGCAGCCTGGTCCTTGGGCTCCTTCGGTGTCTTGGACTCTGTCTTGGGCGCCGCCTTGGCCACGGGGCCCTTCGAGTCTTCGGACTCCTTCTGGCCCTTGGGCTGCTTCTCGCCCTTGGGTTATTTATCGCCCTTGCGCTCCTTCTTCTGCGCCTTGGGCTCCTTCTGGTCTGAAGCATCCTTTTCAGCCTTGGGCGTCTTGTCGGCCTTGGCCGCCTTGGCCCCCTTCGGCGCCTTCTCCTTCTGGCCCCTGGGCCCCGTCACCGGATCGGCCGCCCCGGGCGCTCGAGCGCGCACGATCTGAGACAAGGGCATGTTGTCATCCATCGGAGCGCCCTTCACGTTGGATGCCATGGCTGGCCAACCAATTCTCGTGGGAGCTGAGGTGCACGTGGGCAGCGCAAGGCCAAAACACGAACTCCTGAGCTGAGCCCGATGAGCTCGGGATCGGTTGAGACGACCCCATCCTCTCAACGGATCGGCGGGGGGCGAGGGCGGGTAGAGGGGGGCGGCGGTTGGGGCCGCTTCAGGTTTCCCACGGCATTTCGGATAGCGCAGATCTCAACCCACCTTGATTCGAAGTCGTTGCCCCCGAAAAGATACGAGGAGAAGGATAACTAAGTCGTGGCGGGCTATAACGGCAGGAAGTCGACAGAGAGGGGGAACCAACAGAAGGGGCAGGGGGGGGGCAGGGGAAGTGGCGGCCCGAACCCAGCCCCCCGTTCAGCGTTCAGGTCGAAGCGAAAGTCAAGGTTCTGACCGAATGCGATCTGAGGGTGGATGGAGTGACGGACCTCCCGCGCTCCCGAAGATCTGATGATCGAGCAGTGCGCGCCCATGACCACAGCGGACGAATGAGGGGATGGGAGGAGGGATTGGGCTCCCAAGGCAACGTCGCCTATGCGGCGCCCATGGCAATCCGAGAGCACCGATCGCCTCCACCGCCCCCCCCATCCATCCCCCCGCAGGTATCGGGGATGGACAGACCCCCCTTTAGTACAACGTGGTTTAGTGAAGACGACCTGAGGCCCAAAACTGGCGGGCGCAAGCCTGGAAAATAACGGCCACGGCGCCCTCTCGAGAACCGAAAACGGACAATTCACTAATCGACGTGTCACTGTTGGGGGTTCTGCCCACCCCCGGAGGTATAGACGCGCATCGTTCGTTCATCACCATCATCCCCATGATCTGCTGTATTTTTTGGTGATTTCTCCCAGCAACAAGGCGACCGTCGACGCCCTGGCGGCGCCGCGCACAACCCCAGCGGCGTCCGCCAACGACAGCCCCCAGGAGCTGCTCAGCCTGCAATCTCCTCGGGCTCGAAGAACTCCCCCGCAGGCCTGTGGACGCGTTCCAGGTCGAGGGGCTCCTCGAAGGTGGCACCTGGCGATGGAACGACCTCAGCAGCGCCCGTCACGAGCCAGTCCCTCGCCTGTCTCCTCTGGCGCAGTCCTGCCTTCGAACGAAGCCAGGTTGCGAACACGAAATGCAAATCTCTGCAGACGCACCTGGCCCCAGCACGATGGAACTCCATGAGCCAGGCCACCAGGTAGCCCAAGCCCAACCTCTTGCAAACCTGTGCTCGGTGGAGGGGGGGGTGGAGCTCCGGGTGGCACGGGGCCCGCCTCTTGGGCGATCCTGGGGGCGGTGGCGGGGGGGTCCAGAAGGACTTCGAAGCCCTCAACAGGCTACGCAGGGGCCCCGTCGGGCCGCGGTCGGAGAGTCTCAGAATGCCCATCCAGAAACGCCCTGGGGATTTCAAGCGCTAGTCCCCACGCACGCGCGCCAAAAAAACAAGTTCGGTCGACTTCACGGGATCCAAGGGGCGCGTTACCAGGGTCAGACAGCTCGACAATCAACTGGAAACTCTGCCCGCGTCTACGCCTCCGAGAGAGGGGACATGGAAGAGGAAGGGGGGCGGGGGATGATATGCAAATAACTAAGACAGAGAGAGAGGGAGTGTGAGAGAGAGACAAAGAGCAAAAGAGAGAGTGAGAGAGAGAGAGAGAGAGAAAGAAAGAGAGAGAGAGAGAGAGAGAGAGAGAGAGAGCAAGAGAGAGAGAGAGATAGGAAGAGAGAGAGAGAGAGAGAGAGAGAGAGAGAGAGAGGGGGCAAGAAAGAGAGAGAGAGAGAGAGAGAGAGAGAAAGAGAGACAGACAGACAGACAGACAGACAGAGAAAGAAAGAGAGAGAGAGAGAGAGAGAGAGAAAGAAATAAAGAAAGAGAGAGAGAGAGAGAGAGAGAGAGAGAGAGAGAGAGAGAGAGGACGACAGATGGAGGGTCCAGGAGGAGGGGAGGGGGATGTGAGGAGTGAGGAGAAGCAGCAGCAGCAGTCATCGAGGATTTCACGCTGCCAACCTTGTTCAGGCGGCATTGTCCATGCGCTGGAACCACGCAATGAGCCCCCAAGGAATCCCCGCTGCGGTCGTAGACCAAGTACCCGAACTTGCCCACCTTCCAGTGCCTCCACGGGACACCGTCGCGGCCCTTGGGAAGACGAGGGGCCGCTGGAACTGGAGGCGGAGGTGCCGGGACATGCAGATCCGCAGGCAACGGCGGCGGCGGCGCGGGGTCGTCGGAGTCCTGAGGCGCCCTCTTCACTCCTCCCCCCCAAGATTGAAGGAGCCGAGATGAGGGCACTGGGTGATGGGGCGGGGGGGGGGGGGCTATTCCTCGCCCATCTCCTCCTCCTCCTCACCATCCTCGTCATGTTCCATTTATGCTGCCAAGTCCCTGTCGCCCTCCCCTCCTCCGAGAGACAGATCCTACACCTCGTCTCCCTCTCTGTCTGTCTGTCTGTCTGTCTGTCTGTCTGTCTGTCTGTCCGTCTGTCTCTCTCTCTCTCTCTCTTGGCCGAGCTGCCAAGCCAAAGCCCGATCGCGCGTGCGCAAGCAACCACCTCCTCCTTCGCCTCTTCCTCCCCTCGCCCTCCGCCTCCTCATCCCCCCCACCCTCCTCATCCTTCTCGCCATCATCCCCAAGTCCTCGTCCGAGCTGTCGACGCCGTCGCCCTTCGGGTCAGCGCCCGAACCAGAGCCCTCGCCCTCCCGGCGACGCCGACCTCGACCACTGCGCTCCTCCTCACCACCAAGGGCGCGTAAGCAACGTCGGGGATCACCGTCATCTGGAGGTCGCGGACCGCCGCCGCCGCCTCTCGGGGGACGGGGCTTAGGCGGGTAAATGAGCTGCTCTGTGGCGACGAGCTCCGCCTCCCAGCCCTCCCGCAACCTCACGCCAGTCACAGGCGCGCCCCCGTCGCCACGCTCAACGCCTGGCGCCCTGGACACGTAGACCTCCATGATGCTGGCAACCGTCGGAGCGCATGCCCGAAACAAAGATGCGAACGCGGTGGCCGCCATGCGGGAACCAAACGTCTGAGCGTCGAAGCGGGCGCGCAAGTGGGCGCCGTCGTCCTCCATTTGCGCAGCACACAGCATCAACATCTGGGGCCGCGCGCCACGCCTGCATCCTGTCATGTACCATGACTGCACAGACGTCGTGTCGTCGCCGTCAGCCACCACTATCAGGATGTTCACAAAGGAACCGCACGGCAGATCATCTGCAACCTTCTGGAATGCCTTTGCCGCGGTCTTGCAAATGACAAGCAGCTCGGCATCATCAGTCGAACACGAGCCAGGGCGCTTCAAGCCGCATGGCTGCCGGTAGCCGAACTGCCGCTCATCGGGGATGCGACCCGACTCCTGAACGAACAACTTTCGACGCTGGTCATCTCTGAACAAGTCAGCGTTCGCTGTAAACCCGGGCGCTCTCGCAGTATCTCGCGGCAGCTTCTTCTCGATGGCTGCCTTCAAAGACTCAACAGTATAAGGAGTGTGCTTGTCGCCGCCCTCGTCCAGCATCGTCCGCAGCTTCCGCGACTGGTGGCGGTGCAAGTCGAGATCGACCTCGGGCCCGACGTCGATGTCGCAGGTCTCGTCGGCTGAAACCTGTAACTTGCGGGCGTGGTCCGCCTCCGCCTCGGCCTGCGCCGCATCCTTCGTGGCCTGCGGTAACTCATCCCATTCCTTCAGACGATCTCCCCGGCCAGGTACTCGCCCCGCTTGAGCACTACGCCGTCCTCCTTCCTCTTCGCGTCGAGGGCGTTCAAATGGAGAACTGCGCCGCTGGCTGGCCTCGACTTCCGCTTGGGCGCATCTTTGGCCTTCGCCCTGATGTCGAGCCCCGCGTCGATCAGCTGGTCACGAGTACGAACGCGAGGATCTGGGCGACCGAGGCCGCAGTGGTAGTTCCTCGCCTGCCCCAGCAACGCAGAACTGCACGCGCGTTCGATGTCACGGCCCCCTCCAGGTTCCAAAGCGCGCCCTCACGCATCCCCCATCCTCCTCCACCTCCTCCTCCTCCTCCTCGTCCGCCTCCTTCTTCTCACCTCCTTCTCCTCCACCTCCTCATCCTCCTCCTCCTCGCAATCCTCCTCATCCTTCTCCTCCTCCTCCTCCTCCTCCCCCTCCTCCTCCCCCTCAGCATCACCATCACCATCCTCGTTCTGGCCCCCCTCTGCCCCTGCGTCGACAGGCTCGACAGGGGGGGCGGGGGGGGGACCAGGGGGGGGCCCGACGCGCTTCGGAACCCAGAAAAAACCTTCACCAGAGTCCGCGCACTGCCTCGTCAAGGCAAGCAAACGCTCGCAAAACATGCCAGTGGCCTGGAAGTTCTGGCACCAGGTCACAATCAAACGAAAGAACTCCTTGCTCTGCTGGAGCTGGTCCTGAGAGGGCACTAGTTTCCGAAGCTTACAAGAGAAATGCGGATCAAGGCAGCACTCTGGAAGCCCGTAGAACTCGGTGAAAACCTCCGACTGGCCAGCCTTGGAACACGCTGGGTGAGCCATCTGTGCCCATCGAAACGGGAAGTGCTCATACTGTGAGAATCTCCATTTGACAGCCGTGAGGAACATCGCACCAACCGAACGGGTCTCCGCAATGAATGCCGCACGATCGAGGCCATCGAAATATTCCAAGACAGGCCCCAACAATCCACGGTCCACGTCCGACATCATCTTGCAAAGGGACGCACAACAAGTTCTGATCGGATTGACGCTGGTCGTCGAAGAGGTGAGGTCGTACAAGATCTTCCCAGTTCCATCCCGGTGCTGGAGGGTTGACATCATTCGTTCAATCGGGCCTCCAAGATAGCAACATTGAATGATGCGGTTGCGGCGAGTCGGCTCAGTCAACGCCAACCGTCCACGATAGGCTTTCCGCTTCAACTTGAGCCGCATCCTCTCGACCTCCCCAGCCCTGGCGTGCTCGCTGTTGGCAGGTCTGTCGTTGGCCCACCGCGGGATAGCCGCGACATAAGTCCGAACCAACACCTCGTGGACCAAAATGCCGAA